GTCATTTGTGAATTAAAAAGTAGAGAAAACAAGTTGAAAAGCCTCTATGCCACATGCTAGGGCGCGTGCGCTGTAGCGTACAGGGCCACAAGGCAAGAGTTGTCTTTTTATACTATATGCTATGGCACATGGTGACAGGCATCACGATGCATGGTGCAAATTCTATAAAAATAAGTTACGAATTAATGCGAAAAATAGAAGGGAAGAAAAGGGAAACAGAGGAAACTCGCATTTTCTCTGCTAGGGAACGATCTAGGGGAGGATTTGAGAATGTTTGAAGCTTTAAATCATCCAAGGTAAGACTTGTAAACCCTTTTTCTCCCTTTCTCTTTTACTTTCTTAAGGATTTGAGTTAGGGTTTGAATAAGGATGATGATTTCAGTCTATATAAGTTATGGGTCCAAACCTATTGATTCAAATGGAGTTAATTAAAGTTTTTTAGAATATTTAAACCTAGTATTAATGATTTTGGTGGTTGTTAGTTGATGAGTCCCATTAATGTTCGAAAATGGGCATTAAATTTATCATTATTATAGTTGTTAAGGTATTAATGACAATATGGGTATTCAATGAAGCTATATGATGTTAAGATAGTTAATAAACTCAATAGGTAGGCCTAAATGTAAGCAATGTCGGCATTAGATAACTTAGAAAGGGAAGATTAGAGTTGAAATGTGGGAGATTGGCAATGCTAATGAAAGTTAACTTGGTAAATTGTAGATTAAGCTCTTAGACACTTATTTGATTTGGAAATTCAATCTTGGAAGCCATAATATTGAGAGATAAACCTTTGATCTCTTAAAGATTTGAGGTAATTGGGAGAACCTTGCTTTAGGTAGTTATATGTTAATTGTGATATGAATTGTGTGTTTATCATGCGAATTTTGACTTGTGAAATTGGATGGCATACATTGAAACTTAGTGTATTTGTAAATTGTATGATGTATATTAAACATATAAAAGTGGTTGTAAAATGAGTTTTGAAGTAGTAAATGTGGTGTTCAAAAAGAATTTCTCTTTACAATGTGTTGTGAATGATGATGAATATGATAAAGAGAAGTATAAGAGGTTAAAAGTGATGTGTTTTTGTGTTATAAGTGAAAAGGAGGATTTATGCTCATTTAGGTAGTGCTCGGTCGTGAGCCCAACGTGTTGACTTTGATATTCAATAAATGAACATGTAAAGAGGAGTGAGCATTGTTTATGGCATGTTCAGTGGGCAGGAGTTTGCCTAGGGATTGAAAGTAGAAAAAAATTCATATGGTATTTAGGCCGCCCTTTGGTGCACAGGGTTATAGCCTTGTCTCACAATTTATTGATAGATTATCCTATAATTTATCGAGGGACTAGAATCTAGCTTTCTCTATTGGTTCAATGAGGAGAATAGTTTAAAGTATAAGACACCCTAGAGATTCGAGAGTAGGAAAAGCTGTGGTCTGAGAGTGAGTCATGTGATCTTTGGTTGGGTCATACTTCACAGCTGGTGAGTTTGGGTAGTCCAATCACACGAATGGAGCCTTATCCAGTGTTATAGCCTACGATTTTAGTTTGAGAAAATAAAGAGGGTATAAGGTTGGTTGATCATTGCCTATATAAATGTATGACGTGTCACATGTTTTGAGTTGTGGCAAGTCATGTGTTGTAGCGGGTTATGATCACATGTGTGAGTGTCTTGTGATTATGTACCTAGCATGTGTGAGATGAAAACTTGTTAACTGAATTAATTAGTACTGATATGGGTTAAAGAATGTTTTAAGTACATGGTTTCATGTGCATATGTTTAATTTACAATTGATATATAACTGTATAGGTTAGGTCTTACCTTGGTTATTGAGTGACTAGACTTGCCCCTTTTATTTAACACTTTACAAGCTCTAGCTTCGGTATAGAGAGAGAGAAGGCTTAAGAGGCTAGGAATTAGTACATTCCTATTGTATACCTCTAGTTTAGATTTATTTTGTGTAATAGCACATGGTTGCCAATTCTAAGTTGCATGTAATTATACTTGCACTATTTTATTATTGCAAATGTCTGAATTATATTTTGAACCCTAAATATTTATGTATGGGGGTGTGTGTGTGTGTGTTGATAGGGTCAAAATACTAGTGCAAATGTAAAAATAATAATTTGAACATGTTTTAATTGGTTCGGATGCAATACAGTGAAAATTACCTCCCCTTTTGTTATTGGTGAAAAAGGGTTTGAGGAGTAATTTTGTATTATATGGCTATTTAAGTGTATGTGATATGTTGTACTGATAGTTCTAAATTCAATGGACATGGTCTTAGGAATAGCTTTTGGCACTTGTTGTGGGTTTTGGACACCTTTTTTGTATGAAAGTTGTAAAAGTAGTAAAAATGTGTTTGGATGTCAAACTTCTTAGTATGACTTTTTTTGAAAGTGAAACCTATGCCATTAGCTGGTTTATGAAATGAGCTTTTCGTAGACACCTAAATCATGTCATTCAAAAGTTGGACGAAGAATTGAGACACGTCGAAAGTTCCTTGATTCTGCTGTCAAATGATAGCAGAATTTGCTGATATTTTTGTGCAACATGCTGCAGCACATAGCCTGAGTTACGGTGCACAGTACAGAGAGCAACATGCTGTGACACAGCGAGCACGAGTTGTGGCCCATTGCCCTGTTTCATAACAATGAGTTATTGTTCAACTGTTTTCAATTTCTTTCACTCCTCTGAGTTATCCCATGCTTCTGTAACTTATTTTTATTTTGATATAAGAGATTTTGATAGATTTAAACTCATTTTGATTTAGAAAATTTTGGATCCCTTGATTTTGAACAAAAAAATTTGGTAATAACCTTTATGGTTAATATTTTGATTATCATGAGTTTTATTTGTTAATTACGGTTAATAGAGAGAGATTTTACAAACAGCCTCGGCCAAGAGCGCCTTCACTCACTATAGAGATTCTTTTTGTTCATGAATACTAGGGGTGTTAATGCCTAATCTATCTTATATAGTATTAGGACTTTCAAACAATATAGAACTTTGCACTGAGGCCTTCACGGTGCCAGTGTACTATATGGATTTCCAAACAATGTCTCTAATTTCACACTAAGGTGAACTCTCACCCTCTCACAATGATCATACCAAACATATGTTTAATGATTCTACACATAGCCATAACATATAATTTCTACTAAAATGATCATTTCCACTCAAACCATAGAATTTTGCAAATAATTATACTTGAGTATAGGATTTAGTCTTCAAAATTGCAATGTTCTAAGCATAATTTTCCATTCCACTTCACATAAAGTTTTTAAATCATAATCATTTTATGTTAATACTATAGTAGTACAAAACAAGAGTATTAACTTTGATAACTACCAACACCAATTCAAACACATAAAAAGAGAGTTTAAACATTTTAGTTACCTCAATTCTTTTGTCACTAAAAGGGTTACCGTGGTCAAGACTTAGCTCCACACATGTCTACTAATGTAAAAATACCCAATCATATTTAATCTCCAAGATTATACATTTAATCATCAATTCACACACTAATTTATCCCTTTTTAGCATAATATCAGGTACTCACTATATCCAAAACCTTAATTTAACACCTCAATTCTCTCAACACACTCTATTAATCCCATTAGTACCCAAACAATTTAATAACACCACTTCTTTACCCATACTGCTTTCTAACTCTCAAGTTCCACTCAGGGTTTGTTTAAATCTTATCTAAAAACTCTAAATTGTTGCACAATCTATAAACCTAGATTTAGAGGCTTGATTTAACTCCCCAAGAGTTAACTAAGGCAATAGGTTTGGTCAAAACTCAAGAAAACTAAAATCAAAGCCTACATTGCTCTGAAGTCACAGAAATTCACATGATGGGGAAGGAAAGGGGGAATGGAACTTACCCAATGATGATTCAAGCTTGTATTGCATTCAATGTGTCCCTAAAATCACCCCCTAGCAAGCCCAAGAGTCTCTTCAGTCACCCTCTCACCCTCTCGCTTTTCCTTCCTTTTAAAATTAGACGTAAAGACGAGTTTGATAAAGCTAGATTTTTGTCCATTTGCCGCAGCGCATGGCACATCCACACGACATATGACATAGATTGGCCCAGCATGATTTTGGGCACCTTCTGTGCCCCGATCTGCTTGAACTTTAGCTTAGCCCTCTTTTAAGACTGTTTAATAATCTAAAAACCATACTAGTCATCCAAAAATATCATTAATTCTATTATTTGGACTAATTTTCCCTCCTAAACATTGGAATTTCAAAGTGTGAAATCCAGGATGTTATAGTATCCAACTCTTGAATGATAAATGATTTATATGTGAGACTAATATCATTAACTAGAGCTTTAAAAGAGCCTTCTGTAGACACATAAATCATCTCAATCGGACGTTAGATGAAGATTTGAGAAACATTGAAAATTTGCCTCTGTTGCTATCAAGGTGCACAGTGAGGAACATGCCACAGTGCGTGTGAGATAAGCTGTGATGCATCCTCCAGTCTTTGAACAAAAATATGACTTTTTAACTTTAATGCAAATGCTTTGAAATAAATTAGAATCTCATACTTTCATGAACATATTTTACTCTGAATTTGGGTTATAAAAGATTTATTAGTTTTTAAGCTTAAAAACTTAGGATTCCATTTTTGTCACTTTCAGTATTTTGAAAACTTATATTTTCTTGTGAGATGGTAAACTCTTTGGGTTAATTTCTTGATTGCCACGACGGTTAGTGATTATGTATGTTTTAACAAAGGCAACCTTACATACCCCAATCTAAAGTACCCTGTTGAAAAAAACACTTTTAAGGAAAATAATAATTAAATTGATTGGAACAATTTTAATTTAAAGTAGGAATAGCAGCAGAACCCTCTCCTTCTCCAATTTTTCAGGCATGCCAATAGATTCATTCTACATGAGACCACCACAAATTTTGAATGCTAATTACCTCTAAAAATTCTAAGAGGCTCAATATCTAATTTTGTGATTAATTAATTAACTAGTCAATGAAATCATAATTACAAAACACAGAAGAATCAAAGGCTTATTCTGCATTTGCCTTCCTTCTCAGAGAACAACGAACAATTACGTAACTGACCATCAATCATCATCTTTCAATCCAATCTCATACGTAAGCCTCAAACCCTCTTTCTTTTCTTTTTTTTAATTATTATTTATTATAGTTATTGTTTCTTAGAATTTGAATCTTCCAGCTCGTTTGTTATTTCTCTGAATTCAAGCTATTAAGCGCGAACGTATTTCTTATTTTGAGTGTTTGTAATCCTCAAATGTTGTTTTCCGCATAGGGACTCGTCTTATGATCTTAATAATCTTTTATCGTGTCGATTCTCAGTTAAAAACAAAAAATAATTTTATCTTTTCTTGAACATGTTCATTATTCAACAAACAAGGATTTTGAAAATTTTGATAATGCAATGAGAGGCTTGGTAAGCTGATGTATCCCTCAGAATTCAGAAACCTTGTATATGCATTATTAAGAGTGGTTTGATATGATCACGTTAAGCGATAAGTTACGATGAAATGAAATAGAAATTAAAGGTTCAAACTTTCAGATGTAACTAATCAAAAAATGGTTTTGATTCGTGTTCTTATGAATTGCATTAAGCAGATATAAGACATGAATATACTATTTTTACTCATAGTGTGATGTCATTTATTATAATTTTATTTTTTATATAAAAAATAGATTATCCGCCATGCTATCCGACAATTATTTGAAAAAAGTTGAGAAAGCTGTGTAAAAAGAAGGAAAAATAATTCGCTTCAACATATTAGGACATTAGCCTTTGATTTTATTTGGAGACAGGCACCTAATTATTTTAGACTGCACACAACTAGCTTTTTAATCAAAATATAAAAAAGTCATTCCAAACGAATCTAGATTGTCCGAATTAATTGAATAATTAAAACAACAACCATATATATGAATTTGTATTGAACCCAAGTTGATGCTTTTATTGTTTTACTCCAAAAATGTCTCAGAAGAGAAATCAAGCTCAAGCTGATGAAGAGAAAAACTAATAATTTCTTTGAATACAAAAAATATTGAGGTCTTGATTGGTTACTAAAAAAGAATAGATTGAAAAAATCAAGATAAAAATGAACTAAATCATTCTTTCTTTTATGGTAAGTATAATAAAACCCATTAACATATATTATAAATATGAACATCATCACCCTCTAAAAAAATTTCCTAAATTATGATTTTTAATCTCATGAACTAAATTTCTTCTCCCTTTATAAATATGTTCACCTATCTTCTTTGATCATCGTATTTTTACTTTTAATTTTTTTAATTCATTTCCTTCTAGTAAGCAAATGGGACTTGATAGTTTTTCTTCCTCACTCAACTGCTACTCATAAACTGTGTTAGTACAATGCTTGTAGGTTTTGTATTCAAAAATTGTATTATTAATTCAATCACGTAACATATATAGTTTAATCAAATTAATTATGGATCATAAAAAATTTAAATTAATTATGTTAAGCTTGTAAGTCTACCATTAATATAAGGCTAAAAATGCATGAAACTACATTAAACTTTAAGATGGTTGTATATGATCTCTTATTTTTCAATGTTTAAAATTAACTCCCTACCATTAATTAATTATTATTTTATTAATATATTTATTTTCATATCATATTAATGCAATGTACATGGCACATGACATTTAAAAAAATATTGTTATTATTTTTTAACACAATTTAAGGAGGGATAAAATTATAATTTTTATTTTTCACACACATAACGATTCTCTCAATCTTTTTTCGTTAAGCGATATTATTCTCATAATTCACGGGTAATAATTTAAGATAAATTATAATTTTATTATATTTTTATCAATTATAACATCGTTTTAAATTAAACAAAGGAAAACAATGTCTAAAGGCTATCATTGATAAAAGTCATATAAATTTTATTACTTATTTTTTTTAATTTTCTTCAAACTCTTACTATTTGTTCGTAGCTATTATTTTTTTTTAAATGAAGTTTTTAATATTTATTTAAACAAAAAAGTATGTTTTGCTTTAGAATGAGATTTTTTTTAATAAAAAGAATAAGATATTTTTCTATTATTGGTGATTTGTATCAATTTTGTTAAAAACAACTTGCAAAATATCATAATTTTCTTCTATTAAAGAATAAATTTTTATTTGCATTATTTTTATCAATGACAGTTTTAAATAGTTTTATTTTCATTTGGTTAATACAAAAGGTTATTTCAATTGATAAAAATAATAAAATTATAATTTTTCTCTTAAATTATATTACTGTAATAATGAGAGCAATAGCGCTCAACTAAAAAAATGAGACCATCATCATGTGTGTTAAAAATAAAAATTATAATTTTATCCCTCTTTAAATTGTGTAAAAAGTAATAAAAACATTTTTTCATGTCATGTGCCATGTTTATTGCATTAATATGACATGGCAATAATTATATTCAAAAAATAATAGTTAATTAATGGTAGGGGGTTTTTGAAAAATAAAATAAAAGGTTAAGGAGGTTAATTTTAAGGAAAAATTAATTATTTAATCTTTATAGTTTTGATCTAGTTGTAACTTAATCCTTCACTTTGACTTATTATAACTTAGTCCTTGAAGTTTTGACTTAATTATAAATTAATCCCTGAATTTGACTCTTGTAACTTAGTCTTCAAAGTTTCAACCTCTTAAATATTAATCTATATATTTTAAATAATAAAACTATAAAGATTAAAAATATTTTTAAAATTTTAATATTTATAAAAATTAAAAGGATTTAATAATTTAAAATATTAGTAATAAATTTTAAAATATTTTTAATCTTTAAAATTTTATTTTTTAAAATATATGTACCAGTGTTTAAGATGTTGAAACTTCAGGGACTAAACTGGAAGAGGCAAGTTTAGGGACTGATTTATAACCGAGTCAAAATTTCAGAGACTAAGTTATAATGAGTTAAAGTTGAGGATTGAGTTACAATTGGATTAGAACAAGAAGGACCAAATGATTAATTTTTCCTAATTTTAAACATTAAATGATAAGGAAGGTCATATGTAATTACCTTAAAGTTCAAGGAGTTTTATGCATTTTAATCCTAATATAATTTAAAGGAGTAATTAATGGGAATATTTCACAGGATTCAAGCTGGGTGGTTTAATTGGAGAAAAGCTAAAGGAGTTATTTATAACCGTAAGGTGCCTAGTAAACTTAAAGGAAAAGTTTATCGTACTGCTATTAAATTGGCTATGTTATATAGTAGTGAATGCTGGGCTCTAACAGGACAGCAAGAGCATAAAGTTGGAGTAGCAGAGATGAGAATGTTACAATGGATGTGCGGACATATACGTAAAAATAAAATTTGAAATAAGCACGTACGCGAAAAAGTGAGGGTAGCATCTATTAAGAAAAAAAAGATAAAAAATCGTTTGAGATGATTTGGGTATATACAAAGAAGACCGCGAGAGGCACCGGTGAGAAGAGTAAAACATATAACTTTGAGCCATGTTAAGAGGGGTAGAGGAAGGCCTAAGAGAATACTTTTGGAAGTTGTTAAACGCAATCTTTTAATTAATAATATTCCTAAAAGCTTAATAAATAATAGAGTACAATGACGTCTTGTAATCCATGTTACTGACCCTATCTAATGGGATAAAGGCTTGTTTTTCTTCTTTCTTCTTCTATAATTTAAAGGAATAGACATATTTTCACATTCCTCTATAATTAATTTAATCTAACCCTTACAATATTCCATATCTGCTTGAAAATCTAGTTTTTGATTGACTAACAGAAAAGTTCAATTGTAATGATGCATATAGCTTTGACAGTGTGGCTTGCTTTGACTGTGATCTGATGAGTGATGATCAAAATTAGTATCTAGCTAAATACACAGCGGCAAATTATTTGATTTCCAGGTAAACAAATTGGGACTAATTAATATAATTGGTTCTTGATTGATTTAATTTGGCTGAAAACATGTAAATTTAATGTACTGATGAAACAAAATTTGTTAATTATTCCAGGAGAATATCAGGTGGCATGGGATTTCATAAAGGAAGTTTCAGAGTAGCAAGAGGAAGTGCATATAGGGTGCTTCTATTCTCAAAATTATTTCTCAAATTATTATTTTTGTCCTTATTCAATAATTCAATAACTAGATATAAATTCCGTAAATTTAGAAGTTTCATTGTTATTCACGTTGATCTTAAAACAATGCCACTTCAAGTTTATTGGTACTTTTGGAGAGAGAAAGATACAAAACTCCCTAAATTTTGTACCAATTATATATAATTCCCTCATTTTTAAAAGTTTAAAATTAATCTTTCAAAGTTTCTATTTTTTAACTGCATTCTTTCTACTATTATTTTATTAGTTATCTTAGTAATAAAAGTTGTCATGTTATTTTTTTTAAAAAGATACATAGTAGCTTGTGTGACATTCAATGAAAATTAATAATAGCTTTATAAAAATTTTATCTACATCTTTTTATCATTATTAGCTTAGATCAGATGTCATTTAAGTTGCTACGTGTCTTTATATATATATATATATATGATATGACAATTTCGATTAGTAAAATAATTAAAAAATAATAGTTTTGGAGTTTGTTATAAAAAAAATTAGGAAGGTTAATTTTAAACTTTTAAAGTTGAAAGTGTTTTATATAACTACATCCTCAAAGTTCATGGGAGTTTTGTATATTTTAACTAAAACTAAGATTAGGAGAGAATTAAACACAATTTCTCACAACGCAACATAATATTAATAGATTTATTGACAACTAAGGATTAGTTGGTATTTTGATATGCTTAGTTGTTAATAAATCTTGTAGTATTTCATTATATTGTGGGCGACAAAAATGTAATTGGAGAATGACAATTAGGTCCCATGATACTAAATTAGTGATAGTTAGGTCCCTAATAAAATTTTCTACAAAATTAATTGTAAATAATATCAATTCAAACAATTACAAACTAAAATTTTTGTTATAATCTAATAATTACATTTGATATTTTAATATTTATTTGTAATTGAAGCTCCTATATTTATAATTATTTGGATTCATATTTTCAACTAATTTTTTTTAAAATTTATCGAGGACTTAACTATAATTAATTTTGTATTTTAAAACCTAACTGTCATTCTCTCAAATGTAATTCTCCCAATAACTTACACTTCTTTTTTAATCATATCTTTCTCCTAATTTTTTCTCAAGTCATTTCAAAGGATCTGCTTTCCTTAAAATAAAGAGAAAAATCTGAATCTCAGGTGTTGGATTATGCAATTACAAAGGCCACAAACCATAGACCAATATTGCCAAAGGAGAAACACGTTCGAAGTATGTGTCATTTCCACGTGTTGTTACTTCTTTTTTCTTTTCTTGGTATTTGTTATGAAAAACATTTATACACAGTTGTTCACATCCTTTTCACAATCTTTACTGTTAAAACACAACAAGTGTATTCAAAAAGTTGAAAAGTAACTTGTAGTCAACAAGTGGCTGATATATATATATATATATATATATTTTTTAAAAAAATTTTGCAGCCATTTTTAATTCACTTTCTCCATCAATGCCTCGCATGGATGTCGTCTACTGCATATATAGCCTTTCTAGCCGTCTACGCCAAACTCGCCCTTGGACTGTATGTTCCTCTTTCACTTTTCTTAATCTTAACCCTCAAACTCGTGCATCTCTATATTACTTTTTTCCTCAAACACCATAAAATATTATTCATAAGATGTTTGAGTTCTCTCTAATTGACATGATCTCAACTGGTCCAAGTGTACATAAAGTAATGATCTCAACAGGTTGCTTTGAAAACACTGATCATTGTACATCGAGCAATGAGGGAACTTGACCGCACAGTTTGGGAAGAGTTTATCAGATACAGCCGTGAAAGAGAACACATGCTCAATCTTTTGTACTATCAAGATAATTCAAGTTCCAATGGTATACTTGCCCTGATCTTTGTCTGATTTTAAGTTTTGTTTTGTCTGTGTTTGTTTTACTGAAACTGCATTTTTTATGTGTCTCAAGCATTGGATTTTGCTGCTTGGATTCGTAGTTATGCCCATTATCTTGACGAACGCCTGAGATGCTATGTCAAGTTAAACTATGATCCTGTGATGTATAGCTCAGTAAGTGCTTCTTTGGACAACCTTGAATCTTATTCACTGTAAATCATGTTATTCTGATGTCATAATCTGTGTTTATTATTATTTACGTAATGTTTTCCATTTTGTGCATGATTACAGGCAGACATGAAATTTGAAACCCAGGACTTGCTGCAACAATTGCCATCCATGCAAGAGCTTCAATTCAGGCTTCTTGAATGCAAGGTTACGCTCATATATACATTTTTCCAGTAATGGTTGTTTATTTCTTTGTTGATTCTTAAACGCTTGGTGATCCTTAAACATAGAAAATTCTGGAAGAAACATTCATTGTGTTCTCTTTTTTGCAGCCAAGAGGAGCAGATTTGTACAATCCCTTACTTCAATATGCCCTTTCAATTGTAAGAATGACTCAGTTCGGATACTTGAATCACCTTGTTTAACACTCTTTTAGTCATAATTTTTTTTTTTTTCTTGTCCGTTCACTCACAGGTTGCTAATGAAAGTGTTAAACTTTATGTAGCAATAACAGTTAGAGTAGTCAATCTTCTTGACAAGGTAAGTTTTGTTTTTTTTTTTTTTAAGTTTTCTTAACATTTGATACCTGATTGTTTAGTAGGTAATTTAGCTTTGCCTTCGATCTTGTCACAGTTTTTCGAGATGAACCAAGCCGATGCTACTAAAGCACTTGAGATTTATAAAAGATCAGCAAATCAGGTATCTATGGTGTAATCAGTATGCTACATTTTGTCTGTGTGAATGTGCTCTTAACACCTGTAAACTTGAGTTTGTGCAGGCAGAGTCTTTAGCTACTTTCTTTGAGACTTGCAGGGCAATGGAGTTTGGGAGGGGTCAGAAATTCATTAGCATTAAGAAGGTATTGTTCTTCTTCAAGAAGAATGAAGCTGAGTGTCACCATTTGTGTCCATGCATATCGCACTGATATGAAATGACTTGTATCTTGCAGGCCCCTGCTTCTTTTTTGGCTACCTTGGAGGATTATGTTAAGGAGGCTCCAAATAGCTTGGAACTTGACCAGCAACTGGTTTGATACTTCAACTCTGAACTGAGTCTAACATTATGTTCTTTCTGCCATTTAAGAGTGTATGAAAAAGCTTTCACCATTCAAATTATAGAACCGGAAGTGCATGAAGTTTAGACATGTTTAGAAATAACAATATCACCATTTTGTTATCTTTCAGCAATATAGTCCACATCTCAGCGATAACGTCTTTCTTTAATGCACATGTCCATGTATGAGGCAAGAGAGAGATTCCTTGACCTATAAATCTATTCTTCAGTATGTACTGTAAAAAATCAAGGTCGTCTTTGACCACAAAGAGAAATATCAGGACGCTTTAATGAACTTTCATTTGAATAAATTTCCTTGTGAGTTTAGTTATGTAAATCAGTACTGGCTACTATATTGGAATGACTGCCTTGGATCTGACCTGATCGCAAGTGCCAACTACGTTCTTCATCAGATTACTAAAGAACAAGGTGTTACTCCAGAAGGTGATTTGCCAAGTGACCAAAGCCAACAAGAAAATTCAGATCCTTCTCAAGTAAAGCATGAGGCTGTAGCAGCACCACCAGTAGCTGACCTTCTAGTAAGTGCCCTTCTCCTGTTAAAATTTTAGATATTTTAGTTGAATTAGACTTAAAACCTTCAAAGTTACCCTCAGTAGCATTTTGATCCATAAGCCTTCATAGTTCTTAATGTATTAGGGCTTGGATGACTTGCTTACTGGAGCGTCTGAATTTGAGAATAATTCCTATGCATTAGCAATTGTTCCAGCAGGTAAATTGTTTTCCTTTTGGCAATAATATTAAACTCTATAAATGATGCAAGCACTAACAGTTCTAAGCAGTTTTTGTTTCCAATTCATAATGACAGAAAATTCTTCAAAAGCTGAAAGTGGTGAGAATGGAGCAAGTCAAGACACAGCAGGTTGGGAGCTTGCACTTTTTTCAGATGATAATGCAGTTTCAGAGTCAGAGAGCACATCAGTAAGTCCTTGAGAACTAACTCAGATTGAATACAATAGTAACAAATTTGTTAAATCAAACTATATTATGACATATATTTGAATTGCATGTGTTTTGAAATTAGTTTCATCTATTGTGCTGTAAAGCAGGGTGAAGGCATCAACAAACCAGAAGGTGAAGTGATGATAGGAACCCAAGAGAAGGGAGGAAACCAGAAAGATCCCTTTGGTGGTTCTGAGGACTTCGAATTTTCAGTTCCAGAGGGCCATGGGGCACTGTACGCTTATCCTCCAGCTCCATTCTTCCCTTATCCTCCTCCTGCTTCTAACATGCCCACCCAACAAGACATGTCCTACAACCAGCTCTTGATGCAGCAGTTTCAGCAGCAACCAATTGTTATGACCCAGAAATCCAACAACCCCTTTGAGTAGGCATGTATTGTGGTGGTGCCCCAGGAATGCTTTTTGCAGTAATTGTAAAATGAAAGTCATTTGAACCTTGAAGCCTTGTGATTGTGACACAAACACAGTAATATAAATAATTGTGACAGAAAGTAGAAGATATAGATAGTATATGCGCTCAGACAATCAAGGAGAATGCCAAAATCTTATCAAGGTCAACCTACTCATGGACCATTGATATATATATATATATATATCTATATGCGCGCGCGCGCGAACACATATTCCCATAGATAGGTTATATTCTTAAGAGAGAAGAATAACGATCAGCATATTTGTAAAGCAAAGTTAAAATTAATCTATAGCTTCTTCATGATGTTCAACCTTCGAGCATGTCCCCTCACCGAAGTTTTAACGTACACAGTTTCTAGGAGATTCTTACATTGTTGCTCATGATCTAGCAAGTACAGCTTTCCCTCACTCTCATATTGGGATTGTAGTAATTTGCCTCTGTTCAAAGAGCTATTTAATTCTGATGAGTATATTTAGAATAATTTTAAATATATTTAAAATGACTTCCAGGTAAATAATGCCCCAAAAAAAAAAAATGTGAACGGGGGCTGTGAATATCGCATCTTCAACAGAAATCTTCCGTATACTTGAAATCGTGACATATTAACCTCGCTAGTTATCAATATATGAAATCGCTTTCATATATTTAACAGGGTATATTTAGAATAATTTTAAATATATTTAAAATGACTGCCAGGTAAATAATGCCCCAAAACAAAAACAAATTGTGAACGGCGGCCGTGAATATCGCGTCTTCAACAGAAATCTTCAGTATACTTGAAATTGTGACATATTAACCTCACTAGTTATCATTAGGTGAAATCGCTTTCATATATTTAACAGACTGCTTCACGTATATTTCTTTCCAAACATAACTATCATACATCATGAAAGAGTGATCCAAAAATATTGTCACGAGTAGTTTCACAATTTAAAGATGATGCATCTAATAAGGATAAATTGAAAAATTTCTTTCTTTTTTAAACAAGGTCAATCATTTAACTACCTCTCTTAGTTTTGATAAAATAGTTAGAAATGATTTAATTGGTACATACAAGACTGAAGGGAGTATGGTGCAGTGAAACATTGAGCTTATTTTGAATTCTACATGGCACATTCTGAAGTAGCATCTAGAACAACCTAATAACAGAGGCACAGAATTTTGAATCAGAAAACTAGTTATATACCAATTTCACATTTACAAACAGCTCCAGTCAATTTTCTATCTGTTGCAGTTCAAATATACATTTTTTCTTTTTGCCATCAAATATACATTTTTATTCACAGTAGGTACAGTCTTCTATCACAGCAATTAAATGCCTAGTTCTTGCATTTATGGTCACAGAAATAATCCTCAAATGGAGTTTTCTATGGATTATCCATCACTGATCACGCGTTGAGAAGCTCCTCTGCTATCAACCTTATCAACCGTCAGGAGAAGTTGCTGAAGCAAACTTCCAATTACAGGAAACTCCTATAATTCAACAAACCAAAAGGTAGAGACACAAACGTAAGTAACCTCACAGATTAATTTCATATTCCTTCACGTAAGCATCACATAATACTAGAAATTTGAGAAAGCTCAGATAAGAAACTAAGGCTTACATCTATTATTGGATCAAAATAACCATTTGAGATGGGATCTGGCAGATTCTCTCTTATCACGTCATATCCCCTGCTTAACATAGAATGAGTCACCAGATGATGGGGTGAGATATTGCAATACATTCAAAAAGATTGTATCCTTTTCATGAAAAAGAGATGGTGTAGATAAGAAAAACCAGTGAAAACCTAGATGACACGATTCTGAAATTAATAATCATGCTGTTTGATTTAACTAACCCAGAAAGATGTAAGAAACATCTTGTTTCCTATGCATACCAAGAGTCCAAGAGCATTAGGTTATCAAAATAGAACTCAGAAAGCTGAAGCTTACCTCATATCTTTACATAGCAGGAAACAGCACCGAATTACATGAAACAAAAGACGAGGTGAGAAACCTTGATCCACATCCAAACATGTAACCTAGCAAAATAAAATTACAACAGTGAGAGAAAGCAACAGAATTTTTAAGCACAAGACAATAAAGGAACAATAATGGCAGAAATTTTAGAATACATTAATACCAGTTGATACCATGTTGCCATCAGTTTCTTGAGCAATTTAGACTTGGGATTGCATATGTGGGACAATCCTGAGTCATTTTGGAGGATGGTTTCGATGACGTACATTCCTACCTGGGCAAATGTTAATTAAATGTTTGTCAACTCAGGACTAATAGTGTAACTACATGATCGTAAAACACCCTTTTCAACAATTGCCAAGATTGGAAGAAAAAAATAAGCTCTCGCTCAAGAATAGGACCCTTTATTTCTATTGAGTTATGCATAAATATGACACAGGAGAGGATAAAATTGTCAACTTTATTTCTATTGAATTCAGTAATATTTAACTTTATTTATAAATAAATATATTTCCTAACATATGGAAGTGATTAATTTTCAGATGACCTTTCAGTTGTGCAGCACAAACAAGATTGCTGTCTGCATTGCTGAACCTGATAGCTCAGAAAATCATATTGTATCAAACGCCTATGCAAGCAACAAAGAACAAAAAGCCATGTAAGTACCACTTTGGAGAGTTCATTTCCAATCTCTAAGCTGATCCGGCATACTTCCACCATGTTACTTTCAACAGCCCATTGGATTATGATTGATTCTCTCGCCTTTGAAACAACATAAATGAAAGTTTAAGAGCTTCATATCACAATGCAAAAATCCTTAAAATTGTTAGATATCAATAGAATTTACCTGGCAGAGGATGCCTATCACAGAAAGTGCCACAGCTCTAACATTCTCAAATTCCTCCAGAGGAGCTCTAAATGTTACTAGGGGAACCAGAAAGTTGGGGATTGAAGCTATATTAATCAATAAACAAACTTGAGTCAGAAATAACGGGATTGAAGCTATATCCATTAAGAAACAAAAATGAGTCAGATTAAATAAGTTTTAGACTCAGAATACGTATGACCAATGTCACAAGGGCTCACATTTCACAAATTTGTGCCTTGTCTCCTTACCAGCTGCAATGCACTGTAATTCAACTAAAAAGAAAAAAGGAAAAATGAAAATGTTGAATATGTATCGAAGTCAGGATGGAAATTTCTCACTACTTCTTACATAATTAATAAATAATTAAAAGAAATTTAACTCAATTGCCTGGAATAAAGTAAGAACATTTGCCAAACGCTTGGAAGCTCTTGCAGTAAGGCTCCCATCATCCATCATTCTGAAAAATGTCAACAACTCCTGTTTCAAAAAATAGCATAGGTTCCTCAATCCACAAGAGATTAAACTACAGATATTAAGCCGTCAAGATATATAATTGTTCTGTATCCATACAAGTAAAAATAAATATTATAAGCATTAAGCAGGTTAGGAGGTAAAAAACCCAAAATTATTCTGTTCCTAAATTTATTCAAGAAAGAATGATAAAAACTGACAAGCTAGCGATGATAACCGTAATTTATGGAGAACAAACCTGTAGCAAAATAGTCATTGTACAGCAGGAATTGTACAACATATACCCGGTACTGTAGTAATTATCCAGATCTTGCTCCCGCTTCTATCTCAAATCTCAATATAAAAACTCGTGTCAGAAACTTGCCAAATCGTTCAAATTTCAAAGCGAGACGCCAAGGAATCATCAATACTTCTAATTGTCATTCTGTCAACTAAACAGATAGTAATTTTATTGAAACGAGAAATTAGGAAAAAGACACCAAAAATGAAACCGACATTCAGAATTGAAACTCATATGGTTAGCAAATAACAAGTGAGTGACAGTTCTAGTTACAAGTATTTCTGAGAACCAAACACATAACAGAAACCTAGAGATGGATACGAACAAGAAAGAAACGATTCAAGGAAGCAGAACCTCAAGAAGAAAATTGCTGAGCTTTCTTAGAGCTGACTCTCTGCAGTTCTCGTCCTGAAGATTGAGAATCGCCTGCGGCATTTCAGTGGCTTTACCCGACTGCCGATTCTTGGGCTTCCTTCTTGAACGTTGTCGGCGACTCTCTTTCACAGGATCTTTGAAGGAAAAATCAAATAAAAATGAACTACTCTATAACTAGGGGGGAAAGTTATATAAAAAAGAGAATAAAATGTGCCTTGGTTTAGGTTGGAGTGGCGGACGAGAATGAGGGACGTTTCCTCAGATGCCTTCTCCACAAGAGTGTTAGCTTTGGGAGTTTGTTCGGTTTCCGTCATCGGAAATAGAGAGTGGAATAGGAAGCTCTGTTTAGGAAGTCAGACATTGTTATAGTACATAAAAGTAATGCTAAAGAAGTATAAACAGGTTTCGGCGAATAAATCACCTATGAGACCATTGAAGCTTGGCAGAAGCACCAAAAGTAAAGATTGGGTTTTTTCGCAGCAATACAATTGAGAAATGTCAATCAGATTCACAAGCGGAGAAGATTATGGGCAACTTCGTAAAATCTTGTTTGTCTGCATATTCCGACGGACGACGGGCAATGGAAGGGAACGCGATCTGTGAAGGAGGACCTTGTTCGCGTGATAAATTCCTGCTTTGATGTCTATCTTGATTGGCTCAACGCTGAAGAAGATGAAGAAGAGAAAAATGGCACAAGATTCTGATGAGGCAACTGCACTCAGGAGTTTTCCCTTTGTACTCTGTTGTTGCAAATCAAGAAGTTACAGAAAAAAGGAAAGATTCTTGAAGGAAAAAAAATGCACTTGAATAAAATAAACTGAATATATTTGCTCAAAAAAAAAAAAAAAACTCAATATATGATGTGTTGATGTTCGCCCTCGTTGTCTAATATTAGGGCAAAAGAAATGGAGAGTAAAATAAAAAGAGGACATAATAAAAATATATATGAAAAATAATTCTAATATGGACAACGGAATATGGATTGAGAAAAGGAAAAAATAATGATAATAAAATAAATAGCTGCAAAAACCTCAAAAGAAATTTAAATTTAGAGTCAAAACCTAATCAAAATTGTCTCAACTCTCGAATATCATATATGAGTAGAATTGAAAATATAAGTCAATTTATAAAAGTGGCTATTTATCCCATGTTTTATTAAGGATTAGTATTTAATAATTGACTCAAAAATCATATAAAAGGCCTCTGCACCAAACTTTTATGAGTTCGGACTATTAGAGCCAAACCTGGACTAAACTTTCCCATTTTTTCTTGTTTTTAAAATATTAAATAAATTTATTTTTTAAAAGAATCGCAATTTAGATTTTTTTAATAGCAAACAGGCATTATTTTGTTTGAAATATAGTCAACTTTTAAATGTAAATACTTCTTTCAATGAAATTTGATTCACTAGATCTAATTCTTGTTAGTAAAAACTGCAATTTAGATTTTAAATTTTATAATTTTATGTCATGTTTGTATTTACTAATTTATTCTTTCAACATTCAAATATCTCTTTTAGAATGATGATGTAAATATACTTGACTACTCTATTTGTAGATAAAAAGTGTAAATTGAATAGTAAAATATTTTCATTTTGTAAGATAAAACCTACATATTTCGGAACGAATTGGTTAGTAATGTGTTTGATTGCTTGCGTGTTTTTCATTAAACTATTAGTTCAGCATTTTTTTTAGAACATTTGCATTATGTTTTGTTTTTAGTTGTACTTTATATGTTAAATTTAAACTTTATATTTTGTTAAATATTTGAAAATTAATTTAAATTTTATAAAGATAAATAGAGCTTTCTTTGTTTAATAAACGAAAGTTTGAATAAACTGAATCTCAAAACTTATCAACATCAAACTTGCCTTTAGATTCAAAAAGTGTTTGTTGAGATATTTATAAATTACCCATCAATAAAATTCTCATATTGACAATAAAATTTAATATCAAGACTTTGTAAGTTATAAGCCAAATGTTTATTAATTGGATTAACTTTTATTGATAACAAAATGAGTTTTTAACAAATCTTAAATCTTAATAATTTAAGTCAAGCTTTAAAAGAAGTTAAATATACGAGAGAAAGGGCTTTCAAGCTCAGGGCCAAGTGGTCTAAACCCTATGTATGAATAGGCCATTTCCCACATTCATATATAAGCTATATGCTAAAAGAGTGCAAGTCAATGGTGCATAAGTGGATGAACACCAGAATCATAACAGCAATCTCACGCAGTCATGCTAGAAAACGCTAACATCTTATGCTCATGTCTTGTGGTTTGGGGAGCTGCTAAATATTTACTGTTCAGTAGTAACAATATTTGCATCAATCAAAGAGGTTTTTGTGGATTTGCATTACAGTTTGAAAGTTTTATTATCCATAACAAGTTACCGATGGTTTTATAAATGATGAATATTGCGCAAGTAATATTTCAATTTTAAAAAATAACATAATACTATAGAAATTTAAATTTAAATTTAAATCAAATTTATTGTTTGAATAATTAAAAATATATAGATTTGAATTTGGGTCATATATGAATTTAGATTTGACCTAAATTCAAATCCAAGTTCTACCTCAATCTCCTTGAAATTTAAAATCATTTTTAAACTCTTATTATTTCAAATCTTACCTCAATCTTTTTGCAATTTGACTAGCTCATCGATGGCGCTAAATAAGATCAGATTGTCGATAACAACCAATATTGGGTCGCCATCACCAATCAGGACTAATGGTCGACTTTCATTGGAATCGTCAGCGTCGTCGAATAGGATCAGATTACTAAAGAAAACCAAGACTATGCCACCATTGCTGATCAAGACTAAATGATTGACCTCCATTGGGACCAAATATCTGGTGCCCATTAGGACTAGAGTGCAAGTGACGACTAGAACTAGATGCTTGACTTCAGCAAGGATCAAATTGCCAGTGCCGACCAGAACTAGATGGTTGATTTCAACAAGGATCAAATTGCCAATGCCGACTAATATTGGAATGCAAGTGACAACAAAGACTAGATCGCCGACTCCCATCAAAATTAGACAACCAACTTTCATCATGATTGAATCGCCGGTGCCAACTAGGATAGAACAAATAATGCCAACTAAGATAGGATCACCGGTGCCAATCAAGATTGGACAACTATTTTAAATTAAACATAGAATTTAAAATTTTACTCAAGATTCAAATAGAGGATTTTAATATTATAATTTAAAATTTTTTACATCATTCAAATAAAAAATTTAGAATCTATAAATTTCAAAGGTGAGATTTCAAATATGATATTTTAAATTTAAATTTCCAACCCAATTTCACCCATTCAAAGGCAACATAAAGGAATTCACAAGTGAAGTTAATGGAATTTAGATTAATTTGAAGACAATTACATTATCAAACTTTACAAGACATTTTACTTATATAGTTAGTAATTTAACAATCATATATAAATTTGCACATGCTAGATATTTGACAAGTAATATTACAAACTTGGCAAGCATTGTAAGACAATTTACAAGTAATATTAAATATTTACAAGTAACATTACTAATTTAATAAGTCATGGATAGTTTTACATAAGATGAATATGACATAAGTAATATTTCAATCTAACAAGTAATATAAGGGAATTTACATGTCAAATTTTACAATTTATAAGTGAAGTTAAGAAAATTAACATTAATTTAAATACAATTATATTATCTGACCTTACCAAAAAACAAACTTATATTTAAATTACTAGTAATTTTTTATGCGAAGTTATTCAACAACATTTTTTTTTTTCTTTTTCTATGGGATAAAGAATGCATTGTCAATGTATAGCAAAGATATGGAGAAGTGCACATAGAGATGTGGTTAAACATGAATGCAAGCTTCTCAACTACTTGGGCGTGAATTAATGAGTACCTTCTCAATTAAAAAATGTAAGACATTTTTAAAAAATCTCACCCGTTGTCTATTTCAAACTAAACTCTATCTTTTCATATTTAACCTTATTAAATATCTTACAATAAATACAAAATCATTATTATTAGGAACACTTTTGAAAAAAAGATAATAATTACATTTTAAAAAACTAAAAATCTTATATTTTTTAACATGAATTTCTCAAAAAATATTTTATATTTTTAAATAGGAGGAGTAATTCCTTCATCTTCCACAACTCTAATTTCTCTTCCACCGATTTAGCCACCTTACAAGGCATCAATGGCGGCCTAGGCTAGATACGAATCCACTTAGCCACACACCTTCGTGACGCAAACTCACAAACCCATTCACCAACCTAATCGCAAGCTCTACATTCAACCATGTCCCACAAGTGTGATTGAAAGAATGAATCATTAGCTCCTTCAAGGATGCCTGGTTCAGCTACCACGAAATCCTCTCCTCAGGCTCGGATCTGTACGCAGACTCAATGCCCACCATGTCGGCTGTTTCGAGAAGGCTAAAGCAGCAAGTATAGTTAGTGGACACTAGCCATAGAGGACATCACTAACACGACAATCAACTGGGAGGAGGAGGAAGGAACGCCGGATAGTCTTGAGTAACACGAAAGAGAACAGAGGGATGCCAAAGTGGAGAGCCGTGGATGACTGGCCAACTGGGGCTCTCAAATGGGGGAGAAGCCGTTTTGTTTTTAAGATAAGGATTATTAAGTCATTTCCCTTCTAATTTTATTTTCAGTTACGTATAAATGCTGCAGATAAACTCCAGAAAGTAATGGTCCTTTTTTAAGTTAAATTCTTTCCGTGGTCTTTTCATGAGATTCTCCCTTTTTGAAACCTCTTACGAGTGTGCAATACAAGACTCTTGAAATCATTTTTTTCTCTAACAGGAAGTAATTCAACAACGTGATCAACGTAACAACATATTTTAAGGATGCGTTGTCATAGGATTTTTAACAGAGGACTATTGATTTGCAAAAACAAATAAAATTTACGATTTGGTTTAACCCTCAGATCAACCTATACTTGAAAATAAGAAGAAAAAATATAATCTTCTTTTCAGATCATGAACTATCACAAGTATCTTCAGGCCCCAAAAAATGTCAAGAGTATTAAAAGATGTCAAAGGAAGCTTAGAATTGGAACACGTAGGATGCATGGTTAGATGATATTCTACTCCTAATGAAATCGAGTTTTACTTCTACCTGCTGCTTCGTGCGCGGTCAAATGTCCTGGGCACCCAGCAAAGGACCTGTTGTTACCACATCAGTGCGAATTCAACTTCAACCTTAACCACCTAGCTTTCCAATTATTGCAACAATGACCATAAGAACATAAGAACTGGATCAAACATCAATGTGAATTGGGGTGTTGATTTTTCTTCCTCCTTGATACTATTTCCAATGCCCAAGCTTTGCCTATTTCAGTCTGAAACTTCCCTGCAAATAGGGAACAAGAGAATTTAGAAGGCAATTCATGGTGTACTGTTGGAAGATGACAAAACTGTGCGAATGCACTACCCATATTAACATCAGTAACAAAAGCAAATAATTGAATAGATACTTTTTTAACATGTGAAAAGAGTCATCCATCTTCAACAGATGGTCCTATCATTTCTGGATCTCGAGATAACATGCGAAGGAACTGATACAAAGATCTAATCCCCTTCCTTCTCAAGAAGGAACAGAATATTATTGAGGTATATTTATCCAGAAAAAATATTGGGGCCAGAAAACAAGTTGGAGAAAATAGCCTTGTGAAAATTATTTTTTAAAAAGGAATGCTAATTACGTCTCTCTTTGAAGTGCAGAATTGCATTAGTAGAGTCACCAAGAATGCACAATTTATCATGATAACGAAGTCAGTAAATGTAAACACGCTAGGAGCACATCCCAACATAAAATTAGTTAATTTGATGCTTTCAAGTCACCAAAAATAATAGATACTGGAAGTATTTATGCCAAAATCTAAAGAGCCAGAATCTGAACCCTTGAGCCTTAAGCAGCGAGAAAGAATCTCCATAGGCAGCTGAAAATATATCCTGAACTGATAAACTTCTCACAGACACCATTCCATACTTATAGAGCCTCGTATTAACGTAACTCCCCTAAGACATGACACTAATGCACCTAAATTTAAGCAATAGGAGACCAAATAAAAAGGCCATGACTAAGATACAACTGCATGGAACATGAGACATCGCATAACCGTACAAGGCATGAATTAAACAGAAAGCATAACTGAAATACTGAATTAAAATATCAATTACTAGTTCCCTGAGGCTTTGCATCACTTCTGTCACGTTTGGGTCTTCTATAATAGATTTTAATACGCTGCTGAGGTGGGCATGTTCCGGGGGTAAAAAAATTTGTAATCAGGTCTTATTTTTATGACCTGTGTTTAAATCTACCAAAAACAAAATCAGCTCCTCTCTAAAAGAACTTGCACAAGGAAATTCTGTCCTTTCAAGATATTAAAAGAACAAATCTTCCAGCTCACTCTAAATTTTGAATGTCAGATCACAGTCTAATGTGACACACAAACTATATAATGGTCAATAACAAGCTATACATTCCCCAAAAAGAAATAACAGCATTATGGTTAACCAGTGATTTCCAGGTCAAATCAGTCGTTAGCCAACAAAATGCACTAAAAATTGACAGAGAGGGGAAGGTACATTTGACTGTTTAAGTAGACAATCCAAATTCCAAATTCACTCAACCAAATCCAACAGCAATTTTTTTCCTATGAAGCAATCATGTAAAATGTTAAAGTGGAAACAGTATAATGGTTTCAGTATATTAGACAGTGAGCTATTTTGCCCTTTTCACTTCACAATAGGTTTTTTTTGGGTTGTATCTTAGAGAGAAGTCCTAGAGCCCCATTTTGGGTTTCTTTCCGCAGTATCATTGAATTTATACCTTGCAACTGAAGAAGCATTACCAAATAACTATAAAGATTTGAGTACAACAGAAACTAGACAAGGCAGCAAAACATACCAGCAGTTGACTCGAAAAATTCATCCAAATCCTTCTGCTGCTCTGCAAATGGCCATGAGGGAATATATTTCAGAATCCAGTAGATCAAAGCCACAAGGATATCTCCATAGTAAATACAGAAAGGAATGTGGTGGTCACCAAATATGTAGCATAGTGGAACTGCCAAAGTTCCAAACAGCAAAAGATGTTCAACTTCCTAAATATTATAAATAAAAACTGTTATAATTAATCTCCTTTCGCCAGATGCATTCTGGATAACTATGAACACAAGGGAATTTCCAAGTCTTTTCTTCTCTTTTCTTTTTTTAAATAAATGAAAGTTTATATGAGTTGGGTCCTGAAGACTCACCAAGGCTAGGTCAGGCCTTCAAGTTTAAAAAGCACTTATAAAGGTACTTACAAATTGCCACTAAGGCACTAACAAGTTCCTCACATCGGCAGCGAGATTTGATCTCACAAATTTGTGAATTAGGAGCCAAATTCTTATCAAATAAACCAACTTTTGTTGGTGGGAATTTTCTATTCTATAATTATAACATTGAAAGTAATCAATACAATCCTAATTATAGTACTTATACATTCATTAGAAGCCAATACGTGTAACTTTTGTATCCTAATGAAAAGGCATAAAATGGCAATGGAAAAACCATGGGTAGAGCAGCTCTATGAAATATCCCAAAACACAAATTTAATAATTAACTGCTTTAACTTTTACTCCCTCCATTATCAACTATAAGCAACAAATTACGAGAATCCTTTGTTATCAATTATAAGAAATATTGCAAACTTCCATGAATGTTTAATGTAAGGTTTACAAAAAATGCATCTCATAAATAACCATTGGACTCTATTTTCCAGTGAAAAAAAATAACCATTGGCCCAATTACATATCTTTATTGGGACCAAAACAGGAAGATAAAATACTTCCTTAGAAATCACAACACAGTATAGTAAATAAAGACTTGAAAGAAAGAGAAAGAGGAAAGAAACACTCACCATCTTCATATTCTAAGGCTTGAAGTATCATCTCCACCTTCAAAGAGAAAAGATTAATAGAATCATATTAATTAATTAAGTTTTCACATATTAACAGCCAAATAAAAATGTAGATTTCATGCTAAAATATTCCATCATCATGAATAAATGAAATTCTCAACAAAACTTTGAAAAAACGGAAATTATTTGCATGACTATTTTTTGCTTCTTGCTGTTGGCACAAGCTTTGCCTGTGGCAATTCAAAAGTGCAATGTGGCCCAATTGCAACCTTTCTGAACCCCTTGGGGAAAACTATCAAGGAGAATAAAGTTATAGAATTGAACATCATCACCACATTCTAAATGTTTACATCTTCCCACCATTGTTCTTTCCTTCAGATAGGCAGGTAGCTCTTACGACTCATGCAGAACTCTGTTTTATCTAGACACTATCTATGAAAATGTTTAAACTTTAAAAAGAGAATGAGAGAACATCACAATGAGATTAATTAAGAAACCCATGAAAGGATGAAGCTCATAATAGCAATTGATAGGAAACCTTGAGAGTGAATCTGTAAAATAGAGAAAATGAGTCCACTTAGGCACAAACCTTGTCTAGGTCCTTGACAAATTTAGCTTCTGGTGAAGAATTTGCTTCATACTCCATCCATAACTCAGCTATTTCTGTTGCTTCAACAAGCCAGTTGGAAGACATGTCAAGATATGAGTCTACTTGATTCAATCATTGAGAAACTGTTTTAGTAGTGAAATGGAATTACCTCTAGATCCTCCACCTAGCATTTTACACATATGATCAAGTGCCTCTCGTTCTCGTCTACTCTTTTCTTCTTTTGAAACACCATCTGATGGGGTTATGTCCCCAACAATAGCTATAGAACAAAATATGAAAAAGAAAAAAGAGTATTAACCATTACCTCTGAAAGAAAGTATAGGGCAGAAATGCAAACGGTGTTATAAGCTTACAGATTAGCCCCCAGTAATTTGAGATATCCGAAACAATGCATCTTTTTATCGTTCTTAAATATTATTTCAGATGATTGGTAGGGCTTAAAAAACACACAATTCAGTAAGCATGCAGCAAATCAACGGCTTCAATAATATGTATCCAATTCTTTCATGTACATTAAAGGGCATTTACTCTCAAACAGTAGATTGTGCTCCGTACCAAAGGTCTTTATCTGAGTATCTGTGTGTTTTTGGGGAAATTTACTGAATAAAAATCTCTCATTTTCTATGGTTCATTCGCAACATAAGATTATTTCTCATATAAGCCACATATAATCAACCCTGAGTCGTATTTAGATTCACTCATTCTCTACCTTGCGTTCGAAACTTTCCATCCAACTTCATCCATACTCGGCCACTAAATAAAACGATTTTTATCAAATATACGGGAAGTTATAGATAATCAAAGGAAGAGTATCATACCTTCTGCAATATCGTGAACAATGGCCATTTTTATACACCTGGAAATAGCAGACAAGTAGGTTTCAGCATTTTTACCCATTCGAACTTTAATATGTGCCCCCATGAAAATCAATAGAACAGTCAACATGTATGTTGTGAATGTAATCAAGATATTACAGCTCAGGAAGAGGAGGGGAAATTCACTTGTTTCGGTCTACGCCAGGGATATCTGAAGCAATCAGAGCCATCAAACCCATTCGATACATATGATCCGCTATCGATTCTGGATCCTTGACTTCTTTACGTATCCATCCTGCTCTCTTTGTTGTCTAGTTCCGACACAGAATTCAAGCAGTTACGACGATAACAAACAACAAATGAACCGCAAACAATAATTACAAAATCATATCAAGAAGGTTAAGCTTGCATTAATCTAAATGCTTAAATCCAACCGAAAAATTTAACGATAATCGAAATATGTACTCCATGTTTTGAATCTTCTTGGCACCTTGAAATTCAGAAAAATATGCTTAATCTAAATAATAATTGAATTAGAAAAAATACTTTGGTAAACTGACATCATAATAAAAGACAGAAAAACTCCGAAACAGAGATTTTCCTTCTGGACAACTAAACCGAGAACTAAGCAAGCATCACAAAGGAATCAGAATGAGAAGCACCTTCAGGCGGTGACATAAAGAGAGGAAATCAATGGCAGAGGAAGCAGAAGGAGCTGCGTCGTCAACCGCCGAAGAAGAAGCAGTCACATTGCCGGAAGTAGCGTTAACCGACGACAGCGAAGATGAAGCGGCGGCGGCCATTCGCTGATAAAGCCCAGAAGCAGCGGGAGACCAAGCACGAGCTGCAATGGATTTGGATCTAAGCTGAGTGCAAGAAAGACAGGAAGGGAAGGTGAAGATGAGCGAAACTGATTTACACACCAAAACTCGGCTTCCACTGCTCATTTTATCTCGCTCTCTGTCCTTCTCTCTCTCTCTCTCTATCTTCTAATTAATTCGTTTGGATTCACTTTTCTCCATATTTTTGGCACTTTTCTTCATATTCAGCGCATCTACAGGTGAGAATGGTGTGGAGGTCTAAGAGACAAGATTCGGTACATGCTAGCACATGGCAGGTACTTCTCTAAGTACTTACGGTCGCTCATCTTGGGATTTTTCTTTTTTTCTTTTTTTTTTCCTGGTGAAAGGTCTCGGAACTTTTGAAAATATGCATTACTGTTGGACACTTGTTTGCAATGGACTAGACTTTATCTAGGAACTAGATTTTTACCCCGTGCATGAGAGAGAGAGAGAGAGAGAAGGGATAGAATTTGATAAACATTATATATTAGGTTTTAATTTTAAAAAACTAACGAAAGTTTGTTTAAATTTAATGATGAAAATAAAATTATTTTAATTTTAATTATTTAAAATTTAAAATATGTTTTTTAAAATCTTAGAATTCAAATCTTCCTTAAATCAGCACTTTAAGGTTCAAATTATGTTAACTTTGTTAAAAAATTATTTTAATATCCTTAAAATAAAATATATTACTTTTTCCTTTATTTTAACTTAATTATAAAGATTTTTTATATTTAAAATAGATATGAATTTTTCTTAAAATCAATAGTTAAGAGTTTCAAAATATAAATATGCCTTCTACTTTTAAAAATTTTCATTTTCACCTATTCAATTATTAGGTGATAGTTAAATCACATATGTCAAATTAAAATATCATTCTTAATATATTCTTTTAAATTTTTATTTATAATTTAAATTTATTAGTCATACAAACTAATTTATTTAGTATTTTTTTAAAAAAAATTAAATACATAAAAAACTAAATACATACTCCATGTTTTAAAAAATGTAAGATATTTTTAACCAAATCTCACTCTAATAAAGTAGATATTTGTCTTTAAAATAGCACTATTTTTTCATATTTACTATTTAATTGAGTATTTCACTCTAAAATAGAGATAAAATAAGACTAAAGTTTAAGTTTTAATAATAAAGAAGGAGTCTTTATAACTTTAACAAAACAAAAAGGATGTCAAAGTATTTTACTTTATAATTTATTAATTTTTGAAAATTAATAAATTAAAATCCTCTTCTATAACTCCACAGTCGGTAAATATGAGACTAAAATTTTTATAAAATGATACCTATAAGAAACAGCTTCTATTTTGCAATGTACTACTCTATATATATATATATATATATATATAAATTTCTCACCTCTTGTAATTTGAAATATATTCTCGCTTTTGTATATCTAACACCTGTTATTTTACTAAGAATCTTATATTCACCATTAATTTTTACTATGAATCCTGCATGATCTCTCAATATTAGCTTGAACAACTTGTTTAAATTTTTAGAATTTATAAGAGTAAACCTCATTCACATTTTTTAATGGTAGGTCCCACACATTACTTTTTTAAACCACACTACTCTAATTTTTTTAAAAATAAATTTTACTAAAATCTTACATTCTCTCTATTACCTATAAAGTTTCAAATATCTAAACATATAAAAAAATTATAATTAAGCGTGATTCTTAACACTTTTAACTTTTAGGTTTCTTTAAGTTAGTTTAACTGCCTCAATTATTAAAAATTATTTTATTTTTCTCTTTATTGAGTTCATAAACTGCATCTTTGAATATATTTTTTCTATATTTAATTTTTGAAAAGTTACAAAATCAACACATTTAAATAACAAAAATTAAATAAAAAAATATTTTTTAATTGTAAATAATTTTTAGACAATATTTATAGTTAAATAGGGGTATTTTAGTCTAACCCACATGACTTAACTTCTTTTTATTTTTTAAGGTATCTCCACAATCAGCAAGTATGAGACTAAAATTTTAATGGGATGATACTTATAAGGAACGGCTTTTATTTTGCAATGTGCTACTATATATATATATATATATATATATAACATTGTTTTTTAAAATTTCTCGTTTCATACAATTTGAAATATAATAGAACTTGTTCTTTCTTAAAATGTGTTACTCCCTGTATCACCTTAAGGGAAACAAAACATATATTATAATAAATCGTACTACAATTTATGTCATAATATTATTTATAAATCATAATTATAATAGCTGTAACTCAAACAAATAATATAATCCATGTTATAATATCATTCATCAATGATATGTACAATCATTAAATGTAACAAAATGATTATTGAGAAAAGATTATGTGTGCAATGGAAGATAAATTCATTAACACCATATAATTAACTTAAATTCATTAATATCATATAATTAACTTGTAACTCATAATTTTATTTACTCAAACTTGAGACAGATAACTACATTAATATTTTTCATAGATGTTCAAATAATAATCAACTTTTACACAAGTGGTTGCCACAAGTTTTGGGAGTATGGCCAAAACTTTTTCATCCAAAAAATATGAATCAAATTTTTAAAAATTTGAGAGTATGACTTGTTAATATTGATATACAAGAGATTTATCATTAACATATAATAATTTTATCATTTAAAATTTAAAATTTACAAGGGATTTATTATTTACATACAATGGTATGTCATTAACAAATATAATAAAATGGTCATAATGCAAAATATAACAAATATTGGACTGTTTGTTTAGTTTGATCCTATAATATAAGTTATATATGCAAAAACCTCACAATAATAAATATATAGAAATTTTTTTTTATATCTAACACCTATCATTTTAATAAAATTCTTATATTTATCATTAATTTTTACTATGAATCCTACATAATCTCTCAAAATATAAAAATATTATTATTTTTTACAACTTATTTAAATTTTTAAAATTTATAAATGTAAACCCCACCACATTTTTTAATGATAGATCCCACACACCACTTTTTTAAACCACACTACTCTAATTTTTTAAAAAATTAAATTTATTAAAATCTTACATTTATTTCATTACACTTAAAGCCTCAATTCATACTAAGTTTAAAATATATAAATATATAAAAAATTTATAGTTAAGCCCGACTTTTAAGACATCTAGCTTTTAAGTTTTTGTAGGCTGGTTTAATTGCCCCAAATTATTAAAAATTATTTTACTTTATTTTTCTCTTTATTAAGTCCATAAACTGTGTCTTTGAATTTTTTTGGCTAATTTATATATTTAATTTTTTAAAAAAGTTACAAGATAAATACATTTAAATAATAAAAAATTTATTTTTTGGCCATTTAAATAATTTTTAGACAATATTTATATTTAAATAGGAGTTATTTTAGTCCATCACACATGACTTAACATTCAACTAATGGTTGGGTGGATGAAATAAAATCTTAAAAATAAAAAGGAAGGCTTATGTTTTATAACTATCTATACTAAAAAATATTCATATAGATTTTAAAAAATAGAGAAGAGATATCATTAATTAAGATAAAAATAGATAAAATATTTTACTCATTTTTAATTATAAGTTTCATATTAAAAATTTATTTTTATAGCTCCCATACGTACCTCTTTTATCATAGGAACATGCTATTCTTTAACTTTTTTTTATATCATATTAAAAAATTAAAAAGGAAAAAGGAATTAAAAAAAAAAAGCGACGCTGCATATCAAACAATTAAAAAGTAAAAAAAAAAATTAACTGTAGAACTACAGTATCATTGACAGCATTTACAATATAGTATAGATTTTAGCCACTCAAACTCCGGCCATCCAGAAAATGTGGAATCCAAAAGCAAAGGAACTCATGAATAATGACTATCTATATATGGGATCCCTTTCACTTATCATATCAATATAAAATATAGTAATTCCTTTTTTTTTTGAGTTTAGGTTCAAATTTATTTTTATAATATTTTTTTAAGAGTGTTGGGTATCATGTATTCTTAAGTAGGGCAAAAAATTTTCTAAACCATTTTTAAAGAAAGTAATAATATCCTTCTATCAAATTACTATCTGTTCTATCGTTAGCTGTTAACTTGTCAAGGTGTAGAGTTCATATTAAATTTGACTTAGCTTTCCATGGTGTACATTTGATATTTTGTCCATACAAGTTGGCATTTTATTTGAAGAGAGGGAATCAAAAGCTTCACCTGTAACACGAATCAAACAAGATTACAAAGCGAAATGCCAAACAAGCAAAGAGAAGGTTAAGGTTCAAATTTCATTGGACCCAGTCACGATAGAGGATTCTAATCATTTGATTTGGAGGAGAGTTGTAGAGCCCAGTTCGCTGGGTATATGAATTCCATTATTCACATTGAAAATTTGAAGTCATGATCCAATCACGATTTATCCCCTCTTCTTACGATCTATTAATTATCCAAGTGAAATGCAATGTTCATGGAAGTAGTTAATTATTGACCAAATCCTTTGTTAGTGTCAATGCAATGATTGTAGGCTTGTAGCCTTTGAAGGGGTAAACGATGTCGAGCTTTAGATTCTAGTAATTCCACCAAAGTTGGCACCCACAAGCATGCGTAAAGCCAACCTAACGCCCACGAGGAGGTGCCACTGAAACGTTGTCGCTAACAATGCAAATTCCTTTGTCGGAGACCACTCCTTCAAATTCTCTTCTCGATGACCCAAACATTTTATCGCGTGAAGCCAAGTGCATGCATGGAAGCTAGCTTGCAAGTAACAAGTATCATCAATGTTAGATGCAATTCAAGTTACATTTCATTTGATTATGATTATGTGTGATTGTGACTCTAGGACAGAGCTTATCCGATATGTGTGATCATGATTCAAATGGTTAAAATGTCAAATGTATACACATGGGAAGCCAAGTCAGACTCAATTTGGTCCCACGCCTTGACAAGTTAGCAGTTAATGGCAAAACAGATGACAATTTGACATAAGGGTATTTTTGCTTCGTTAAAAAATAGTTCAGGAAGAATTTTGCCTAACTTAAGAGTCAAGGTGCCAAAGTTCCCAAGAGAAGAGTACAGGGGCAAATTTGGATATTAATACTTTTTTTTAACATCAAATTGAAAAACCTTCGCTAAAAGGTAAACAAAATAGAGTTTACAAG